AAACAAAACCAAAAGGGATATAAATATGCCTTGACACTAAGAGTGAGGATTCTGGATTGTGGGGACAGGCATCTTCTCTGTACTACTCTATATAGTGGAGGAATGAATGGTACATGAAAACCAGTGCTTCCGTACAGACTGTGGTGGAGTTAATGTGACCATACGCACTCTGCCATTCTCACTGAGACAGAGTTTATTTCCCTTCCACTTGATTCAGTACTGGCTGTGACCTGTCTTGGCCAACAGAAGGTGGTGGAAGTGGCTCTACCTAGTGTAGCTTCAAGTCAAGGTTCTGCCTCACATCTTAAGACTCCCTCTGTCATACCAGCTGCCAGGAGAAAGTGGCTACTCTTTGCTAAAGAACATGGCCACTTGAGGAGGTGGGTCTGCAAACATCGCAGACATTCCAGTCCTAATCAAGATTCTTCCTAAATGTAATCCCATGAGGCACACACTGACCAGAAGAACCCCACCTGCCACCCAAATCTTGATCCTGAGAAACACAGGACATGAAGTCACTGCTCTGAGCTCAGAGTCCAGGGGCATTTTGTGCAGCAGAGATAATCCTTTCTCTTCAATTATTTACTATATATATTTTTGGAGGTGGGGCAGGGGTCATGTGCCACAGCACACATATGGAAGCCAGAGGACAATCTGCAGATGTTGGTCTCTTCTTCTACTGTGTGAGCTCAGGGGATTGAATGCAGGTTGCCAGGCTTAGCAGTAAGTGCCTTAACCCTCATCTCACCAGTCCTAGGGATAATCCTTTCTATAAACCTGATTGTAGATGTAGAAATTAGCTAAAATAAGTGATATTTTATTGCCTCCATTGCCAGTGATGTTATAATTTAAATACAAATAATATAAGAAAATTTACCACAAATCCATCTCTCAGAGATTCTTAAGTCCCATTTTGAATTGTGATCGTCTTTTTCTTTCGATAGACACTTTATTTCAGAATACCTAGTTTCTATGTCAATGTGCTATAACCTGCATTAGAATGGCAAAGTGTCTCTTGAACATCTTCAGTATGCTTAAATAGCCATCTCTGACTCTGCCTTCAGCCAGCAGTTTTTAGTTTATTTCCTACAGAGAGAGACATGGGAAGGAGATATAGAACACTGACGTCACAGGTGCCTGGCCCAGAACAGACGCTCAATAAATTGGACAAGCATTTTTTTATGACTAGCTAAAGCAAAGTATAACTCTTTTAATCTTCATCTTGAAGAAAATTCTGGAATTTGGCCAAAGGTTAGGCAGGTCTTGTAAGCAACTGCAGTGACAGGCACTGTCAAATTATCCTCTACAGTGTTTTATCAAGTTACAATGCCCACATTGGTGCCTTCACTGAACTTTGTGGACTACTTTCTATCTCAAGTGTTCTCTAAGGCATGGCTTTAATACTCACAGAAACACTATCACCAGCTTGGAAGGAATGAGCACTGGGTCTTACTACCCATCTCCAGCTCCATTCTTAGTCCTCGGCTTGAGAGAGCTCAGTTCATCATCAAGCTGACAGTGGGGTGAAGTAGGTCTCACAATTAGCATGTTCACTGTTTATATATCATTGCTAACCTTATCTGTAGACATGTAATTTGGTATCAGAAAATAGAGCTTCATGGTGACTATGCTTTTCTCTGATTATCTACACATGTCCATATATCTCTATCTGCATGTGTAAAACTTCGATGTAACAAGAACGATTAAATCAAACAGTTGTGGGAATGATATATATTTCAGGCAGAGTAGAGTGAGGGTCTCCATGTTCATTGGGTGCCTGGTCATTTCATTCATGTTCACAGATACAGTGAAGGACCCTGAGGGAAGGCATGAGAGCGAATGGTTTAGAAGGCTCTCAAAGCAGACACTGTGGCTTGAGCTGTGCTCACCAACTGTCAGGCAGTCTGGCGTTGGGCTGGCTATTCAGGTTCAGAGCCTTTGTTTCCCTATTTTTATGATCAGGAAGATGGAAATCCTTTCTTCATCAAGACAGCCCCAAGGTTGGGGAGGCTGAGGTGGGCAGGTGGGAAGGAGGGGAGGAGAAAGCTGAGCAGCCCTGGATCGGCTACAGCAGCAGAGGGCACCGAGAGCAGAGCAGCTGAGGCCTCAGCATATCCAGCAAGCAGACTGGATAAGCTGAAAGGAATCGCTCCAACTCTTGCTTCAAAACCCCATTCAGAAGCTGCGGCTTTTGATGAAGAGCAAGATGGTGAAGCAGAGGAAAGGCCTCCAGAAGCAAAGGTGAGGAGCAGCGCATGGGCCACACCAGCACCACCGGCCTCCTCCATGAGGGCCGAGCATGGGCTTTCTAACAGCCAGAAGCTGAGCGAAGGAGAGCGCACTCTCCTCCTGGAAAAGTCCATGGCCAAGATAGCTAAGTGACAGGGCACAGAACTGGGGTGTGGGGTGGTGGGAAGGTAAAGGGAACTTCTCTTTTCATAAGCATGCAGGACTCTATTAGATCTACCTTTTCTTTTTCGTACATGACTAGAGGAGTGTTTAAAACTAGAGGTGATATGTATTTTGTAAACCAATGTCTAGACATTTGCTAATTTTGTAGTTTCATGTGATTAATTCCCAAAAGTTATATATGCTAAAGAAATTTGAAATGGGGAAAAATTGCAAGGTTTATGTGAAGGCACAGAACATGAAATGAATGAAAATGTCTGTTAGACAGCCTAGCACACGGCACCTGTTGAATGACAATCACCTATTATTCCTATTATCATGTGTGATACAGCCTGGGAAACAAAGAGCCAAGGAAATGGATGCTAATATAACAATTATTTTAGCAACTTCAACATAGATAATAAAAAAGTTACTCATTAGTGGGGCAGGGATGGTGGTTTGCACCTTTAATCCCAGCACTCTGGAGGCAGAGGAGGGCAGATCTCTGTGAGATTGAGGCCAGACTGGTCATAGTGAGTTCCAGACCAGCTGTGGCTATAGGGAGACCTTGTATTTTATTTATTTATTTTTTTTAAAAAAAACTATTCATGTTACACAGAAGTGATAGAACCAAAACTGAACTGTACCTCAATTATTACTGTTTCTAATTTTTTTTTTTTTTGAGACAGGATCTTACTATACTATATAGCCCAGACTGGTTTTGAACTTGTGATCCTCCTGCCTCTGCTTTACAGGTGCTGAGATTATAGGTGTGTGCTTTTAAACATTTTTTTTCTGCTTTATTTTTATTTTATGTGTATGTGTGTATTGTATGCATATATGCAAGTACACCCATGTCGGATCTCCCGGAACCAGAGTTATGGATGGTTGTTAGCTAACATGTGGGTGCTGGGATTCAAACCTGGGTCTTCTGCAAGAGCAGACAGTGCTCTAAACCACTGAGCCATTTCTCTAGACCCTAGGTGTGTGTTTTTAGCTCCATCATAATTTTAACTGTTACCAGGTAACATTAAGCACATATGTTTTATATATATGTTATGGACATATCAATTGCCATCTTTTAAATTCAGTCTTTGTGATTTAGAGAGGGTCTGAATTTGTAAAAATGGCTTTTCCCTTTTAGCAGGTAAATGGATTAAAACTATAAGAATAAATAATTTAAAACAGTCATTATGCTAATTGCAATTCTTTTAAGATATTTTTTAATCTTCTAAAACAATACAAGGACGATGTTGTTAGGGGTAATCTAATTCATGTTTTCCCCTTTTCCTTATACAATGGGATTCAATTATTTATTTAAAATTTGGAAATCACCTACCATTTGGTATTTGGACATAACTAGTAAAGAAATCCACATAAACTGAAACTTTTATTTAACTGACGCAGTTTAAACAAATTCTACTACTCAATTTCATGCCAAGGAAACAGTTGTGTTATACATATCACTGGGTACTTATTTAAGTGAAAAGTGGGCCTGTGTAAGTTTTAACTTGAAAGATGCTTTTAAATGACTAGAATATGAAAACGAAACAGTTACTTTGGGGGGAGTGTATGTCCATAACTCATGCAGGGCAAAAAACTCATAAGGAGAAATAAATAGGGAAAATGTCATTGAGCAAATCCTAAGTCCTTACCTATAAAGTGAGGAGGTTGGATGTATTGGTCTCAAAAGGTTTTTTTCATCTCTTAAAGCTTTTTATTTTATTCACGATCATCCAGGGTTAAAAGGTATACATACCTTTATATGTATACACACACACATATATAAAGAACTTAGTTTTCTTTGCTCTGTATGATTACTCTACATGCTTTAAGTATTGTTACAGTAAAGTCACCAAAAACTAATCTTTTTTTTGGAACTCTTTAAAACATTTTTTGTTCCCTTTTAAGCCTTATTTATAAAGGTTTCCAGATGCTTATCCTCACAGATTAAACACAGCATGATGTAGACACTTACAATAATATCCATTGCTATGAAGCCAAGAAAGAAACTACTTTGAGATCTAACTGCCTATCACCTAAAGAATCAGGTCCAGGGAATTTTCTGTTGCTATTAAGGTGTGACTCTTCCTCTGAAGTCATCCTGAAACAACCTCGGCTCTCAGCAGCAACAATCGGTGGTGCTGTGTCAAAGCACATCAAATGCTGGCATTCCATGCCTGGAACAAATGCGCTATTGCTCATTATGCGAATACATAATGAAAGGATGTGGGCAAAGAACAGAATGTAAATTGGAAGCTGACTTCTGAATGTGCTAGGCAGCAGTACTGGACTGAAACACTCATTCTAATTTCAAGAGACAATTCCAAAGTGGTTCTCAAGAGAAAAGACGAGGTATTTTTCAAATATTTGTTCAATGCGAATGGACTGGGCTTGCCAAAAATGACTTTTTATACTGGCATGCGATCTCTCGGAGGGAAGTCAGCCTGAGTCACTGGATACATCAAAGGTAGAGTCCAGTGAATGGAATTACTGCAGGCTGTGTGAGCAAGCCAGATACCTGCATTCATCTGCCCACTGCTGGGATTTCGGCCTCCGTTTAATTACATTAAAGCAGCTGGTACCACTGGTTACTGAAGTCTTCAGATTACCTTGATTGCTCGGTCATTATCTCTAATCAGCTGCTGCTTCTCATCTTCAAACTTTTGTATAACATCCTGGAGCCGCCTTTCTGCAGCAAGCTGCTGCCGGCTGCTCTCCTCTTTCAGAGAGGAAATGGTTGTCTGCAGTTCTGCTATGATCTAAAATGAAAACAGTATGCTATAACTTCAAATTCTTCAGTGAGAGACATCTATTTTATATGTATTTATGCTGAACAAAAGAATGCATTTGGCAAAACTCTACTCCACAAATTGAACATTTTCAATTAACATATCGCACAGTATAATGCATGAAATTCCATGCAATAAAAGACTATAATAAAACTGTGAACGGTGAACAAGTGCTGAACCAAATATATTTGGAAGACATTTCCACTGTAACATTCCACAATATTTACTCATCAGAAGAAAGAACATCTGTGATCTCAAAACTATGAAAAGCACCAGATTGTATTTGACTGAGAAATCTGAGAGTGAGAAAGGCTCTTCTGTCTTTCCTAAGACTTTACAACAGCCACAAGCTCCCAGTAAATAAAACAACAGAGTTCATTCCTCATGGCCACCTAGTTCTACTCAATAACCTTTGAGTATTCACTAATGTTTATGTATTGCGTTAAGCACTTCAAGTTTTTATATTACTTACACTGCCAGATGGGTATAGTTATTATCCCTCTTTTATAAATGAGGAAACAGACTCACAGAGAGGTCAAATACTTTATACTGTTGAAGATGTCTAGCTAAGGAGACAGATTCATCCTCTAGTCAATTTTATTTTTGTTTCCAACAAAATGTTGGTACTGAAGAGAAGGCTGTATCCTTCCTAGCTATGCATATCCATCAAAGCTTATTCTGGCTCAGACAGCATCCTTTCACAGATTACTGGAGAATTCTCCACAATTGTTGAGTTAATGCCCTCCAACTTCTCAAATTAACATCAGGCGAAGAACTGAACGGGCCTACTGAGAGTATGGCCCTTCCTTTGGTTTGGAGGCATCATTTCCTTTCAAACTCAATAGTGACGATTTTTTAGAAAGCAGGAAATGGTTGTTTCTCCTAATAAAAGAAGCAATTTTCAGTTCTTGGTTTGAATTCTGTTGGTTCTATGAGAAGGATTCCAATTGGTGAGAAGCACTGGTCTTAATTAGTCATCTTTCTTGATCTCAGTTTTCCCAACTATTATCTGGTGATAAAACAAGATCAGGGCATCAAAAGACAATATGTAGAAACTCTATGGAGTTCTACAGAAGTCAAGTCCTATAGAAATACTATTGGTCACAGTGGATATAACAGCATTATTACAATAAATATGGAGTACTTATGCTTTAAAAGTGTGCGAATTCACTGTAACAAAGTTTAAAATTTAATCAAATGTTGAGATTATTTTGACATTATAAAAAACATAGTCGCAGGATGTTAATATTATTGCATGAACCCTCTGCTGTGGGTAGAGGACTTCATTTACTGAGAACAGAATAGTGTTCATCTATTCTGTGTATGTGATTAAATGCTGCTCCATTTTGACATTCATTCAATTAATTTTCATAGCACTTCCAGGAAGCAGTTAAGGTTAAATCCTTACAGCTAATGTTAAAAGCTGAAGCACAGCCTAATCAGCTCCCAGTCACAGAGTCAGAGGAGCCAGGGGTAAGACAGCCAGATTGCCTCAGCCTACCATGAAATTTAAGATTGATATTTTATAGCAACACGGGAACAAACAGTAAAAATAGCTTAACATTTCAGTGTCTCAAGTTGAGTAAGCCACAACTTTGTAATTCTGCAGTGTGTGATTAGCTCTGTGCAATTTAATCACATGTGTAGATTCATATATCTACAGCCACAGTCACGTAATTTAGTTTTAAAACACAGGTATTTTTTTAAATACTAGCAATGAGCCAAGCTTAAGCAAGGATGGAGGCAGGAGGATCCTGAGTTCAAGGCCAGTTTCAGCTACATAGTGAGTTTGAGGCCAACCTGGGCTACATGAGACCCTGCCTCAACAATGACAAAAACAAAAATGATGGGATTGAGATTATCATAACTAAGATTGAAAATAATTTGGGATGTTTCAACTGTGCTCAAAATAGTGATACTTCTTGTTTTTAGATTCAGGACAATACGAACAAAAAATGAATACATGTTTTGGAAGGAACTTCAAGTGACATTCTGAAGATGTTCTGTGGAAGGTACGCTTACTTGCTTCTGTGTGGAAAATGAATCATACATTCTTTGGAGGGGAGTAATGAGATTCTTACAGGGGAAATAATGAGATTATATTTGGTGAGCTATTTTTAAAACATAAAAGTAACATAAGGGAATGTTAAAACATTCCAGGTGAACACTATGGCTAGACAAATGGGTAAATTGATGGATAAAATGATACAGAACATCACCTGAAAAAAAGAGGCCATTTAAAGAACAGTATTTAATATTTCAGATTAAGAAGGAATCATAATTGCTGGGCATGGTGGTGGCACATGCTTTTAATCCCAGCACTTGAGAGACAGAGGAGAGCTCTGTGAGTTCCAGGCCAGCCAGGACTACATGATGAGACCTTGTCTCAAACAAAGAAGTAATCATAATAATCAAATTAACATGCATGCTTTAGGTAAAGAGCAAAGTATGGGTCTTTGTCTATCAGTTATAGATTTAGAGTATAAGAAAACAAACTATTTCACCTTAGCTTGATGCATATAATTAGTACTCAGTAAACATCTAAGTAGTGAAACTACAACTATGGTAAATAGGAAACAGTCATCCTCTAGAAAATTATACTGACACAGTCTAGCCTTTCCATAAAATAATAACATCAAAAGTTTCTGGCCAGGCATGGTGGTATGTGGCTTTAATCCCAGCACTTGGGAGGCAGAGGCAGTCAGATCTCTTTCTGTGAGATGGAGGTCAGCCTGGTCTACATAGTGAGTTCTAGGCCAGCTGGGGCTACAGGAAGATCCTGTCTTAAAAAGACAAAGATAAGTTTCTGAAAAAAAAAAAGAAAGCTAATATACGCCATCACAATTGGGTACCTTCATTTCTGATTGAATTGCAATTAAAGAACATAAAATGAAATATCTCTGTCCAACTAAGCGTTTACCCGGGGTTAGCACAGAAAGGAGTGAATTAGAACATTTTCGTGTAGGTAATAAAAATTAATACTCTGACAAACAAAAGGAGCTATTTTTGGAGGATACTATAAGGAATCTGACCCATGAAAGCAGTAATGGTTCCTAGTAATTGTTAAGCAATCAAACTTTGCAAAAATATTAGGGTCTTACTTAAAGTCTTTACAGAATTTAAAATGGAGGGTAAATTTCATCTTTAACTCATTCTATTGTTTTTTTAGAATGTAGTATGGTTTGATATTTTTCTACAACTCTCCTCTAAGTGCAATAGCCAAGGCAGGCCATACTTAGAAAGGATGGGAGGACACTGGAGAGTCTCACAAAATACAGGTAGGCATAGACCCTTGCTATTCTCTGCATTCTGGGGCGGCCCCTGGAAAGGGACACAGCTGGGACATGTGGCATCTTCCCTGGCCATTCATCTGTTCCGGAGAGGGGAAGCTAGCTGGGACAGTGGACTGGGCTCTTTGGCAGTGGGTCAGTTCAGCTGGCAGTTGGTCCTCTATAGTGTCTATAGCTAGTCTACATTGTCAGCTATGCATATGCATATTCTTACAAAATGGTACTACCTTTCTTGGGAAAATGAACACTCAGGAGACTGAGCTGAGTAGAGAAAGTGCATTGAAATGGAAAAGATAAAGCTAATATTTAATAGTCACATAAAAAGAACAAATATGTGACTAAAACAGTATCCAGATGCATGCCTAGAGATGATGCCACCCTTCCATCAGGGTGAAAGCTGTAGAGGGACAGAAAGGACACAGGCCTTGGGTATATCCAAGGTTTAGAGCACATGGTCTACTGCATCCTAAAACTTGATAAAATCTTAAAGATTAAATGACTTCCTTTATAGCAGGAAGATACTTATAACATTTCCAAACCTAACCTGACGCTCTCCTGAGTGCCAGCGCATCCACCCCTCATGTATCAACATCAGCACTTTTTCTGAGGGGAAGAATTTTAAACTTTGATAAACACAGTGAAGCAACTTTGTTTCTGGAGCTGTCATCAGCTTGATGAGATATTAGTGATTCCAGCAAGCCAGCATTCCATGTTTCTGGTTTTTTTTTTTTTTTAAATGTTTGTTTAAAAATAATGTGTTTCTCAGAACTGACTGGCACTGTAGACTAATATTTTCAAGTGCCAGTTCCTGGATATAAATATCTTCACATATATCAGAAATAGACAAACTTATCAATGTAAGGCAATCTTTTTATGAGGATAGCCTCTCTTATACTATATATTTTTTTATCCTTTCTATTATTTTTTTTCTTTTCTGGCATTACACTGTTCTTTAACTTATGAAAGTATTACAGTGCATAATAGGTAGTGGTTGCTTTTCCCACTTCTCTTTTAGGTTTTTACTTCCAGAGAAATAGTAAGCTTATATATCATCACATTTTGTGGAGAGATTTCATCAGTTGTTAAACATCCGTAAACATGGCGTCCAGTGAACTAACCTCACTTCCCTTCTACTCCTTTTACTCGCCTCCCTTCTTCCTTTCCTCTGTGGCAATTTTCATACTTCTAAAATTCCTAAATTAAATGCTTTAGTATATACAAGGCACTGTATGCTTTGGACATTATTTTTACTTAATAGCTAAAACTATCTTAAGAGGTAAGTACTGACCTCCCATTTGACTAATGAGGACACTGAATTCCAAAGGTGGCACGTAAACTGGCTCAAAGTCACACAGTGGTAGAACTGGATGGTATTCCAAGCCAGGTCTATGCACTCCAAAGCTTAGGCTTCCTAAGTTTAATTTGCCTTAATTCACCTAATCAGGCTTCCTCACACATTCCTTTAGATAAACCTAAGACTTCTGTTTACACTCTCATTATTTAAGCATTTTTATTAGATCTCTTCTATCTCACCATCTGTCTGCTTCCCCCATTTTACATAAAGCAAAATAAGCATTATGCCAGCTGCAATTTTTCATGTTTCTGCTTAAACTTTAATTTTAGAAGTAATACGATTTCTTTTGGTAATAAGAATCCTTTTCAGCAGATTAACCAGGACAATTCTCCATGAAAGGGCTGGAATAATGGCAATCAAGTCATAATCATCTCATATAAACACATATGACTCTTCAATTAAACAAAGACTTTTGGTTTCCTAATAGCATGAGAATTATATAACATGAATATTTTAGAAGTAATTACAGAATTGACATTTCCTGATAATTACCATCAAAGTTTTGCCATAATAGAAAGGTAAGGCATTGGGCCAGGCTTGTATGTCAAAGGTCAAGATTGCCACTTTGAAGTCAGATCCAGGCTTAGTCACTTGCTAACTTGTATGACCTCATCTCTCTGATCTCAGCTTTCTGACCTCTCTGCTGAGCTACATCCCCAGTACTTAGCTTTCAGTTTTCTCAACTGGAAAAATGAAGCCAAGACTGAATGAAGTCACTAGGTTTGTGCCCATAAGTGTTGGATGTTATTATCACTGTTCTACAAGTCTATCCACAAAATGGCACATGAATTTCAATTTACATGTCATTTTATACATGTAATGATACTAAAGCCAATTTAAAAATCATTAGATAGGAAGTTTATAAAACTAAATGGCTTAATTTGCCCAGCTACACAACGAAGATAAACAGTGTTTATTTGTTCTAAAACAACTCATAGAACTCTGGAAGGCTTGGGATTTGCTAAGTGATACTATGATACTATGGAAAACAACTCGTTCAGCGAAAGTATCCTGAGCATCATCTTTGAAGTGGAGACAGCATTTAATCGTTAGTCTTTCTTATGGTAAAACTCCTATAGTGAACAATAAACAAGTGATGGAATTCAGCAGCAGGTTCTTTTGGTCACCCTCCAGGAGGCACCAGTTGAACTAGTGATTTAACCTGGAATTCTCTGTCACTTTGAGCTACTCTGTCAAATAACTTTTGGATAAAGTGAAATGGGATATTGCCAAAAAAAAAAAAAAGAACAGATGGTATCAACATGCTTACATCACAGATGTAGGTGTATATCTCCTGCCCTTATGAATGTCTCAGCCTGGACTTGTTTAAGTGTGCTGGCTGGTTTTACAACATCTTAGTGTGTGTACACACATGCAGGTATGTATATGTTGGTTCAAATAGTTCAATACACCTAATTGTTCTTGATTTTTAATAAGATTGAAATTATGCTTTATTTATTATATACCCATCAAACAGGAAACTAATCTGTGAGCCACGGAGAATTAAATTCAGCTCTGAAGTACAGAGACTGTGATATGTTGGTTTCTTTCTGCTTTTTCTTTTGATTTTACTTTGTTTCTTTTACCCATATTTACCTGAGAAGATCTGGCAAGCTTCTGAGTATATTCCTTCTCGATCTGCTTCAGCCTGCTGTTGGCCTGCAAAACACACATACATGAACACACACACAGTGACCTGTGAGCTTGGTATCTCTTCCACATGCCTATCACCAGGCAGCTGGGATGGCTGCCGGCTGCACCGCCCTTCTGGGGCGGCCAGAAAACCACAGAGCTTGTCTTTGATCTGCAGCCAACTATTCATCACTGGAGAAGCAAGAACGAAAAAGAGATGCCTCCTGCCAATTACTAGACAAACACACCACTTCTGTGGCTAGAGAGAAAAAGGAGGAGAAACAGAAATAGACATAGCTACAGTGTAAAGGCTCGGAGGTAAAGGAAGGGGAAGAAAGAAGAAACAAGAAGGGAAAGGGGACAAACAAGGAAGATGGAAGAGGAGGAGGAAGTGGTAGGTCTAATACTCTTTCACCTTAGTTTAAAAATCAAAGAAATAGGTGCTTCCAGACAAAGGTAGATGTGAGAAGTTCAGACTACTAAGCAGAGTTGAGCCCCTACTCGGCTGACACACAAGAGCTATCTTTTGAAGTGACAAATACATTTGATTCAAAGGGTTTCATGTCCTGGAACCAGGGTGGCCTTCCCAGAATACGTCCACATTGCTTAGAATGTGATTATCCCTCTGCCACTCAGGTCTCAATCCCTTGGATGTCACCTGCTTTCTGTTCTCTGGAAGTGCTTGGGATCTTTGCTGTCTTCTCAGAGTTCAGAAGGGTATCAGTGACACCCTACAAGGGGCCTATCCCCATTGATCTCATTATGCCCCTTACTGTTGCCATGTCCTCTTGTCTGCTTGTCCATCTGCTTGTCTCTCTTGGGTTTGTCATCTTTTTCTCGCTGTTTCTATTTTCCATCTCTTTGTTTTTTGAATTCTTTTACAGTTTCTTAAACTTTTACTTTAAAACTTTCTATGAGATTAGAAACACCTGCTGGTGTATTCATAATTTCTAAGGATTCTTTCTTGTTCAATGAAACAGCATCATTATGAACCCCTCTTTATAAGTGAGGAAACTGACCTACAAAAGTTTAAGTAACCTGCCAGCACCATATAGCTTAAAAAGTGATGGCTCAGTACTTACCACCACCCACACACAGCCTGGTTACTGAGCACAGTGCTCCTCACTCCACAGCAAGAGCACTCCACACACGCACAGAGTACATTCCTGAACTTTCTTGAGTTACTGTCTTATGTCTGCAGATCTAGCCATCTACCTACCTGTCAAGCACTATCTATATATCTATCCATATGTACTTAAATGTTTACCTACTCACTAGAGGATATTTTGATCTCTGTCTTTCTCTACAGATGTCTGGTGATCTTAGGAGTTCTTTCTTAGGCCCTCTACAGCTTACAAGAAACAGTTTGGGGTGGGTACAGGCTTGTGGATGGATGAATGTTCCCAAAGGGTGTGGAAACAGGAGCCTGGGCTCCCTAAGCTAGTCTCTCGCTAGGCTTCCTTCAAATCTAGATACCATGTTTTTGGAAGAGTACCTGAGTGTTATACAAACCCATCTTTATTTTTGCCCCAATTGCCAAGTTGCCTCTCTTCAGGGAACAAGCCAGAGGTAGGGGCAGGACCAGTCATGTGATATGCAGGGCCATCAGATCCAAGCTACCTGATTTTCTCATCCAGATACTGAACTCATCCTCTAGTTCTTACTTTTTCCCATGCTCAGACCTCCTGCCTCTCTGATTCCTTAAGTCTTCCCAAAGTTGGACAAGAGGAAAGATCCTGTTGCTGCTAACAGATATTCTCCAAGTCTTCTTTCTCCTTGAGAATATATACACTTCGATATGCTTAGTTCTGCCAAGTCCATTTTGGGTCCAACTTTTTCTAAAATTCTAAAATGCTGTTGATTTCTTATGTCTTGTTACTTCCCTTCCTGTATTTTTGCAACAATTCTTGTGTAAAAATGTCTAGTTGCAATCCAAAGTTCTGATTTCATTCCTTTAGGGTACAGTCCAGGTATTAGAATTTAAAAAATCTAGCCAAATTCTCTGTAGCTATTCAAATTTTCCATCAGAACTAAAAACTATTTGTTCAAGGCCTTTTCTTCTCAGTGCTGAGAATCAAACCCAGGGCTCTGCACATACTGTGTCACTGAGGTATATCTCCACTCACTTATTTTTTGTATTTTGATGGAATTTCCTCAGGGAGTAGCGATAAATAGGTAAGCTTTGTCTACTATGTCAAATTGCTTCAATGGGATGAGGAAATAACCCACTCTAGATTCTCCTCTATTATAGCACCAAGGTTAGAGTGACAGCTGTTGTCTAACCCATCTCTCCCACTAGACTGTGAGCTCCTAGAAGATGGGTTCTGACTCCTAATACAGTGCTTGGTGCAAAGTGTTTGTTGGATGGATGAATAGATATACGTGGCCCAGTCCTTTTCCTGTGCAATCTCCTGAGCCCATACTTCTGAAGCAATACTTTCAAAACCATGTGTTTCATGGACTCAAATTCAAAACAATTCTTTGTAGTTTATTGCTCAAATCTCTATGCCTGTAACCCTACTGAGCACGTGGGATGATTTTGTTTTTTTCAGTGTAGCAAGGGTATGTGATTGCTGATATTTGTCTAGAAAGTCGCAGACTCAACTCCAGCTCCATGATGAATACGCCACTCTCCATTACAGAATTAGGGCCACTTTAAATCTCTTGAGGTTTATTGGTCTTAGTTCCCATTCTGCCAATGTTACTTATCACAAAATGCTTGATGAAGTATTTGTTGCTTTTAAAATAAACACGTACAGAGCTCTTACCATGTGCCAGACACTGTTCTAAGTGCTTTAAAAATATTTACCTACTAAAGAATCTAAAAGTTAACTGCAGCGTCATAAAGACCAATTTCCTTTTCAGAGATGACGGTCAGTACAGGAGAGGCCATGTTTCAGCTGCAGGTTCTCTACAGGACCTATGGCTAGCTGGCCCTGACAAACCAGACAAGCTTCTTTACTGCTAAATAGCCAACTCATCCATCCAGGCTAGGCCTAAAGCACTGAACAAAACAGACAAAATTTCTCTTTACTTCTATGGAATTTCTGCTTGAGTAAACAATATCATTTCTTAAAGTAGTATTTTATTTTTTAAATATTTTATTTATTATTTTTTATTTTATGTGTATGAGTGTATTGCTTGCACGTATATAAGTGCACCTGTGTCATGCAGTGCAATGCCTGCTGAGGTCAGAAAAGGGAGTCGGATTCCAAGAAACTGGAGTTTCAGATGGATTTTTAGCCATCATGTGGGTGTTGGGAACCAAACCTGGGTCCTCTGCAAGAGCAGCCAGTGCTCTTAACTGCTGAGCAATCTCTTCATCCCCTTAAAGTAGTATTTTAGATGGTACGATTACCAATGAAAAAGATGAAGTAGGGAAAAGAGATAGAAAATGGCAAAAGGTAGAAGGTGGTTTATAATTTTAAAAACATACAACTTCTAGAACCGCCTTAATGGGATGGTCTTTGAGAAAACACCTGCAGGAATTAGGAAGTGATGGTGAACTTCTATGCAAGGGCCCTGAGTCAGGGGCAGGCACAGAATGGAAAAGCACAGTGCAAATGACAGTGTAACTAGATCAGTAAGCAATGTTTCTTTCGAATGAGATGAAATCTGAGAACAAGGGCCAGATTGCACATGGCAGGGCATGTACTGTAAGGAATTTGGTTTTGAATAAGTCACATGGAAAGCTATTGAACTGTTTTCAGTATAGGAGAGAATATAATTTAAGTACTAAGTATAGGAGAGAATATAATTTGTTTTAAGTACTAAGACAACCACTCCTGTTTTTGTTTTGGTCAAGAATCACCCCCCCCCCCAAAAAACTCCAAAAACCAAAAACCAGGAAACAAAAACCCACCACTACCACCACCACCACCAACAAAACAACTAGTTAGGAAGTTGCTCCTAACAGTAAAGGATGGCAAAAGAGGAGGAGGTGAAAAACAGGGAGATATTGAGAAGGACTTGAAAGAAGAACCAAATAAATACGCTGCATGGTATGAAGAGATGACTTCATGTCTCTTGGGATATAAATATAATATTTATATCTCTCGGGCTATATCTCTTAGGAGAAGGCTTAGTAGGTGAACACTTGGTGTAAAAACGTGAGGATGAGTTTAAATCCCCAGACACATGTAAAATTGGGTGTAGCAACTCATTTGAGACCCACGATTACTTACACCAAGATGAAAAGGGGAGGCAGGAGATAATGCCTGGAAGCTCATGTGTCAGCTAGCTTTGTATACACAGTGGCCAACAACAAGAGTTCCTGTCTCAAACAAGATAGAAGGTGAGGACAAACACCTGGGGTTGTCCTCCAACCTCCACAGTGTAAACCAACCATACCCGCGTGCATAAACGTGTACACTCACAAAGATTAAGAAAAAAACCAAAACAAGACAGAATGACTTCAGGATTTTTGTCCTAAGCAACTAGAAAGGTGAGATTGCCATTGTGGTTTTGGGAAAAGCTTTGAACTGAACAGGTTTGGGGAAGAAGATCAAGTGGTAAGTTTTGGATATATTAAGCTTAGAGATATGCATTAGACATCCATGGTTGAGGTAAATATTTGAGTTTTAACTCCTGAGTTTGTGGGAGATGTGTAGGTTAGGAGTATAAACTCAGAACTTGCTATACCTAGTGTTTGAAACCATGCTACATGGGGTCTCAAGACACTGAGGACACATAGAAAGGAAGAGGCCTCAGGATACTCAGGCCTGTGTCTGTAGATGTTCAGAGGCTAGGGAAATGAGAAAAGCAAAAAGAAGTAATAGCCTAGTTAGGAAAGTAGAACAATAGGGAATCCCGAAGCCAAGTGGGCCAAGGTATAGGCCAGTGTGTCAAATGCTACAGAGAGGTCATGTCAAGTGAGGACGGAGAAATGTTCACCTATGCTTGGTAGCATGGCAGTCATTGGTGACATGGAAAAAGCAAATTGTGGTAAAATGTAAAGGACGAAAGCAGGGTCGGGGGGATTCCAGAGAAAGAAGAAGGTGGTTTGGAGTAGAATAAAGGAAATTTGT